ACAAGATGTACGAGGACACGGTCGAGAGAGAGTTCTCCAAGCAGTTGGAGAAAGAGATCTCGCGGACGCGGATGGAGGACCCGGCCAGCTTGGAGAATCGTATCCTGGGTAGTTCCGTGCCGAAATCCACCCGCAGGAACACTGAACGCAAGGAGAACAATGCCAGCAGTACCGCAAACGAGATGAAACCCGGCAACTCTAGATACGACGCCGACAAAATGTTGGGCTACTCGCGAACCGAGGAGGACCTGCCTATTTTGGATCTGGAGAACGAGGTGCTGGCGCGGACCTTGAAGGATTACAACGCGTACATGACGTCGAGTTTGAAGCTGTCGATGCTGCCGAGGCGAGAGGACGCTGAGCGCAGGCAGAGAACCGGCGGATCGCATTTTCATGGGAAACCTATAATCGACAGGGCGGAGTTGGACAGGCTTGGCGGAAAGAAGGACGCGGAAACGGCGAGCAGCACCGCTGCGTACGAGGACGATACGAAAGGGGATTTATCATGCATAAACGGGACGTTCGTGCCGGCGCCCCTCGCTCGGCATGCACTGATCAAATATGTAAAGTAAGTGGCTTTTAGCATGAATAATTCAGCTCATCTCGAACGTCGGCCAGGTAGCCGGTTTCATCGCCGATGCGATTTCCCTCCCTTTACGAGGCAACGATGATATGTTCCCTCGCGTTTGTGAAACTTGCGCGCCGCATTATGCTCGCCGGTACGCCGAACAGCCAACCAGAATGGTAGTAATTAATGCGGCGTTTTTTCTGCATCCGATGTTTTTATTCGTTCGTTAGTAAATAACTTGAGTGAATGTGGTTCGATCGATCGAGTTAGATTGCTGGCTCATTTTTTGGTTGATTCTTAGATAGAGAATTTGTTAGCAAATAATTGGAACATGGAGTTCACGAATCTAGTATTTTTGTTCGTGTGTCGGTAAATAATTTGAACGATCAATCGAGTTAGATTCAAAGTTTCATCTTTCTTTCTTTCTTTTGATATAGTTTTTGGTCTAGTTTTATAGTTTTATAGCTGTACTTTTCTTTAAATTGTATGGTTTATCTATGTTCGTATAATATTTATTTAAGTGGAAACTTAAATGAAAGTATGCGTTATTGGTAATATTGTTTGATTAAGGGACATACGTACGTACATCATGTTATCTGCATAAAATCAATAACATATTGAAAGCGACAGTATTTAATAATAATTAAATTGATTTACAACAGATTCGTGGTTTGATTAACTAAATGTCTTTGCAAAGGATCGTTTGTAAAATTGATATTACACACATTAATTAGTAATAATTGTTATATTGGTACAATAATGGCAGTCGTGTAATTAAATTGAAATATCGACCCAGGTTGATTATTATTCACGAGTATAATACTACTTTCAAGGATCCGAAATTAACGTTTTAAATTGCAGATTAAATCAATTTGGCTTCGAAAATTCAATTTAACTCTCAACAACATAGGTATCATCAGGGGATCGTAACAATTTACAGTTTAAATTATTTAACTTTAAAATTGAATTTTATTGCCAATCCTCACATCATCACGGAGAACGTAAGCTACAAAGTAAAATCAAACATCCTAAATTTCAGTGATCATAACATCAAACATAAATTTGTTAAATGTACCGCAACAAAAGTACGCGTAGCAGTAGCGGCAAATAAATAAAAAAACACTTTGCCTCGTGCGTAACTTCACAACGGGGAGGAAATTTTGTTTCACTATTAAAAGAATAACTTTTATTAATTGTTTCTTCTGCTTCTGCATTAACTTCTCATGTTGAAAGAAATTTTTATAACTTGCTCGTCAAAGGTCCGGAAACACTTGAGCGTTGGCGCAAGTACGTAACGAACTTTCAAACATTTTCAATTTTTCAAAGTACTGAAACTTTCTCGGATGGTTGAAAGGGAAACGTGACTGGCAAACCTCGTGAAACGAACGCTCCGTTCCCGAGCACTCTGCGTGAAATCTTCGAGCAAGTACGCTAGCTACATATGTATATGTCCGCCTTCCTTTTTCCCCCGCTTTCGGAGGATTTAGTCGAAAGGTCGATAATTGCTGTTCTTGCTGTTTGTTCCGTTTGAAACGAACCTTCTTCATCGTTCAGAACGAACGGTTCCTTTCAAAGACCTCTTTCGCCGCTTTGGCGTGTTCTTTAATCGGGCACACGCCTCTGCTCCACACCGTGTCCCCTCTATTGCCGCTTGTGAAATTTCCCCTCTTTTCATCAGAAAACTGAATTACTGGGACAAGTTCGTAGCCTAGGGATTATAGGAGAACCAGAAAAGTTTCGGATCGGGGGGGGGGGGGGGGGG